ATGCTTTTGCTGTTTCCATCGTTGTTCTTTCCATCCGTATTCTTGATGTTTCCATCATTGTTCTTTCCATCAATGATGTTTGCATCACTGTTACTGGTGCTGATTCCCTCGCTTGTTTGAAAGATGGATGATTGACTTTGGGACATTTTTAGGTCCACCGATGACCGGGAAACGGATGTCGTCGCTAGTGCGACTACAAAGAGGATAACTGCTGCCACTCCTGCGATCTTCCAGGACGGAGTCCACTGTTTGGATTTTGGTTTGGCTGCTGCATTCCCTTTGGCGTCGCCACCCAGGTGATTGTTACTATTGACCGGAGTCAACAAGGACGCGATTTCGATGTCACCGTCATCGGCATTTCCTTCGTCGCTAAAGTCGTCCCCGACCTCGTTCCGAACGGAAGACGGCATGGTATTCCTCGCTGGCGGTGCTCCGAGATCCCTCGGGTTGCCCTCGTTGTTGCTGTTGCTGCTGCTTTTGTTGCCACTCTTTATCACTTTCCGTTTGTGCATATTCCTAGTTATCCTATCGTTCATTTGTGTTCCAGTGGTGGTGTACACATAGTCATAGTTAGGTGTTGTTCATTCACTCCTGCGGTCTCATTTGTAAAATCCAACGGCCAGAAACTCCAAAATCTATGAAATAGTGGACAATTGGTCTGCTTCGGAGGCAGTTGAAGCCGGATTTAGGATTTATTTTCAATTTAGTCGTATGCCACCAGCATTTAAGCTGGCATCTCATTCCCACAACTTTATTGTTTTACCATGTTTCATAGTAGTTCAAAACCCTACCAGCTCTACAACAAAAAACAGCCAACTGAGTAGTTTCTTGAAAATCCACCCCCCAGAAGCCCCCTCCTCTTTGAGAACCAATTACAGTCAAAACTATTTTAGTCTTTTTTTAATGTTTTGGCTTCCATGATTATTTAGGGGGAAATGGAGTACTGCAAAGTGTACTATTATTGTGGGACGGAGGTAGTACTACAAAATTGCATCACATGCTTGTTTCAATGAAGGACTGAATGGCTTGCCGACACAAGATATCCTACCTAACATTGTACACCTACAACACTCCAAAAATTGATCCAACATATCTCCAGATGACATAGAAACTAAAGACAACCACCATCTCTGCTTCTATATATCACCATTTCAGGATATCCTTACCAAAGAAGTCTGTGTCAAATGTAATAGCCCTACATTTGGTCTTGAACTCAATGAAGATGAGCTAAATGCTGGTCGCACCTTCCTAAAATATATCACTAAGAACTCAAGTGCTACCGCCATGTTCTCCTCATACAGGTCTACACAAAACCAAGTCCATGGTGCATTCATTGTATCAAGCAATAATCAACCCATCCATCCTTGAATCTTTAGTTTTAAAATGCAATACTACCAATTTCAAAATCCAACTTGCTCCTGTTGCTTGTCAAGCCTCAAGTATTCAACAACGGAAAGAAGTAAATGAATATAACTTACATGTACCAACAGACAAATTCAATACCAGCTGAGATCAATTATGCCAGGCCATATTGCTGCTGAGCACCATCACAACCATGTGAACAGCTCTCCAAATTCTGTCCCACATCATTTCTGATAAAATTATACAACTTGCACTCAATGCCCTCATGTCTCAAACAACAACAAGAGAAGAACAAGCACTTGGACATTTCACACATCAAAAATTGAAGAAACTTGCTTACTGGTGGAACAAATGGCTCAATGCTGAAATAAGAAAGAAGCAACTCAACCAGTTCCATGACCTTGAATTGTATGGTAAACCTACACATCCTTGACCTCCAAAATCAATTTTGTTGAACCTACACTGGCAATACCAAGTTTGCAAAACCAGTGAATGCTAATCCCGCAACTGTTCAAGGATGTGTTGAGACAGCTCCTGCTGGAGGTTTTAAGTGTGCGTTTGGAGGGGGGGGGAAGGTTAAATGGATATGGGAGAATGAAAAAAAATCAAAAACGAATTATTGTCGAACGAAACGTCAGATGGGTCTATTTAGTCCGAATCTCACAGGGTGGACGGACGGAACATAGAATACTCGTAGTTAATACTCAATAATATTCTGTTCTTTTGTTCTGGCTCCGCTCGCATGCCTCTGTCCTTGCACAAACACTACTGCATAGTGGGAAGAAAAAGCACAGCGGCGATACCCGTGGCGGGCAGCGACACCGACCACACCGCAACGGCAACGGCAACGGCAACAGATAGCATGGACCCCCTCCTTGCGCCGCCGCCGCCCCCTCGGGCCCGGCCGGCCTCTCCGCCGAAGATCTTTGTAGTCGACGCGGCCACGACGCTTCTTTGGGCCGCCTTTCGGGTCCTGGAGTGCGTCCTCTGGATCCCCGCCCTGGTGTGGCTCCGAGCCTCCCACCGGAGGCGGGCGGCGGCGGGAATTGTCGCCACCCGGACGATTGTTGTGGTCGGAGGAAATTTTGCCGGCCTCGCCGCCCTGTGGGAACTCCTCGCGTGGCAGCGGAAAAGAAACAAGGCAGCCTCCCTCGCAAGCGGCGACAACACCGCCGGCGTCCGCGTCCGCGTCGTCCTGATCGATCGGAAGGATTACTCCGAATACACGCCGGGGATTCTGCGCCTGTTCTGCGAGCCGGGGTATTTCTTTCGCCTGGCGCAGTCCCTGCCGGAGTCGAGCGAGGAGGACGGCTTTCGGCGCATCCACGGAACCGTCACCAGCATCGTTGGGGAGCGCGGCGCCGACGAACGAGGCACCAGCCACAATCCGACCAGAACCACGGAGGCCAGCGAAGAGAACGTGGAAAAGGTCCTGACGTACCTTCCTTCGTGCAACGGAGCGGAAACGGCCGCCGCAACGACAACGAAAACACTGCGGTACGACTACCTGATCCTCGCCACCGGTGCGGCCTACCACGCCCCGATCTCACCAGCGGCGTGGAGTGCGAGTGCGAGTACGAACGGAACGGCAGACACGAGCCAGGCGACATCCCCAAACATGCTCGACCGCTACCGGGAGTGGAAGACCGCGCACGAACGCCTCAAGGGAGCGAAACGGGTGCTGATTCTGGGGGGGGGGGCCGTGGGCGTGGAGCTGGCGGCGGAAATCATCGACCACGACCCACCGAGAAGCAACGGCAGCGGTGGCGTGGCGGTGACGATTCTCGACGCCCAGCCCACGCTGGTTCCCCTCTTTCCGAGGTCCGTTGGTGCCTATGCCGAGGACTGGCTGACCCGCCGGGGCGCCGAGCTGCGCCTCGGAGAGTCCCTCCGGTCCTGGAACGACCGGAGCTGCACCCTGGCGGACGGGACGGTCTTGCACGCCGATGTCGTCTACGTGTGTTTCGGAAACCGTCCCAACTCGGAGGCGGTGGGCGCGTCGTCTTCCAGCGGGGCCGCTTCCTCCGGGAGGGAAACGAGGGCGTTTTTCTCCCTCACAAAACGCCGCACCGTATCGGTGAGGGACACCCTCCAGCTTTGCGTCGGCCCCGCCGCGAACGATGGGAGAGCCGGCCTCGGTGTTCCGGACGGCACCGGGGAAACGCGGTCGACCACCCCATGGTTTGCGTGCGGAGACGTTGCCAGCCCGCCCACCAACGACGAAAAGCAAGCCTTCCAGGCCGAGATGCAGGGAAAGGTCGCGGCCCGCAACGCAATCCGGCTGCTGGAGTCGTCGCTCCTGCCGGCGTCGGCGGCGAACGGGGCCCGCCTCCTCCGATACCCGTTGGACATTGCCGGAGCCGACCGCATCCCGCTGGTCTTTGTTCTCAGCCTGGGGCGGTACGACGGCGTACTGGGTTTCAACCACATTTGCATCCCGGGTCCGCTGGCCGCCGTGGTCAAGTGGATCCTGGAATACACCAAGGTCTCGCACATGCGGGGCCGCCTACTGGGAAACCTCGTTTGGAAAATCGGCGACGCGGTCACCCTCTTTCTGTCTCGGACCGTGCTGCGACCGGCCTCGCCGGTGCCACCGACCGCAGAGGCACGCGCAATCGCAAGCGCGAACACAAATGCAAACGCAAACACAAACACCCAAAGATCTCTGGCAGCCTTGTCAAACACGACCGATGGCGGCAAGAGCAGCAGCGGCGGTCCCATCCAGCGAACGGCTTCTTCCGCTTCGTTGTATGGGACGCGGCAGCAACGACAGCTGGAACAGCAGCTGAAACTTTCCTGACGGTACTGTACAAGAGTGGTGGTTATTATCACACGGGTCATACAGCGATAAATACAATTTTGTGCGAACGGTACGGTGTTGTTTCGGTGGCAGCGGCAAACGGCGGTAACAAAATCCACCGATTTTGGATTGTCATTGGTTTTCCTCGGTACCAATAAGAAAAATTTAGCTTCAAGGAAATTTTTAATTCTCATTTTTACTGCATAATACTAGTAGCAAACCTATCCAACAACCTTCAGTGTGCACCAAGAACTTCATCAAAAATACTACTATAATAATTTATGAATACAGCCTCTGCCAGTTTTTCATGAGGAATCTGAACATGCCAATATTTTCAGTGGAAAATGGATATTTAGTGTTCGTACCTATTGGATGAAACTGAGTTATTTTCTTCAATTCAATCGTTGGTGAAATTTATAACCGTCAACAAGTGACAAAGGCAATTGCTAAATCACTTGGCCGCTTGTAAGTTATCGGTTATTGCGGTTCCCTGGCGCGTAAACAACTTGACTCATTCGATTCTGATTCTGATGACCTAAACTCAGAAATTGGTCGTGGAATTTATTTTTTCGTGACTTACGATTACATCAGCATCATCACGCTTCAGACACACTTACCGCGTGTGTCAAGAACGTCGTATTGCTCGTACGCACCATTTTGCAGAGGGGTTCCCGAATTCTTTTCCTTCTGCTTCATACCGTACCTTACCGCAGTTAGGATGATGCGAGCAATGACATGACATTTGGCTTGATGAGACCGTCATACTACAGTACCAGGTACCAGGTACATACTACTAAGAGCTCCGCACGGTTGACGAATACCAAAAACCAACCACAACGAAGAATCCAGAAGAGTTTCAAAACGCCTTTACAATTCTGTTCGTTGCGTTGCTCATCGAAAGACGAAATCGAAACTCCACTGAATTGTAATGGAAAGCACTGGTTGCAACACGTGTCTGACACAAAATTACTACGAAACAATCGATCAATCTATCGACCATGTCACTTGTGAATCAAACTTGTTGGGTTGTTGGTGGTGTCGGAGTCATTGGACGTGGAATCACCAGGGGACTGCTGAACGCCGGAGCCACCGTCATCGTGAATTCCCGCTCCCCCGAGCGACTGAACACTTTGTCTAGGGATCTCGGCCATCCGGAGCGCCTGGTCACGATCGAGGGCTCACTGCTCCCCGGATATGCGAGCAAAACAGTGCGCCGAACCCTCGATGCGAATGCCCTGTCTCTCAACCACGTCGTTGCCCACGGGGCCGTGCGGTACTGGGGCGATTTTGGCAAAGCCAATGGAAACCGAAGAGACGAATCCCACGTCGTGATTTCACCGAGTGGCATCGGTAGATCGTTGTTGCAGACCACGACCCCGGAGGAATTCATGGCACCGGCATCGCAGCTCGCTTCCCTTCATTTTTCTGCCGCCCAGGAGCTCATCCCCCGCATCCAGTTCTCAAACGGCCCTTCGTCTTACACTTTCGTCACCGGAGATGCCGGGGGACACCCCAAAGGCTACCGCTCGGCGTTCGGTGAAATCAACACCCACCATGTCTGGGGCCTAGCCGCTGCCTTGAGAAACGAGCGGTTCGAAAAAGATGTTAATTGTCGAGAAATTCGTGTGCGTCTGCCGGTAAATCGACCAGTTGAAGAGCGTCGGGATCAACCACGAGGTAAATAAATGAAAACGGAGCATCATTTACGAAAATTACGTCTTACATTAAAGGTTGATCTTTTATTCTGATCAAAATCATTTCTTCAATTGTTCACAATACTGATGCACACTTTCTATTTTTCCCAGAAAATCCATTATCGGAAGATATTGGGACTCTTTGTGCTGGTCTGGCCACAACGTCTAATGACAAGAAGGAAAGTGGGGCGCTGATTGAGATAGCAGATCAAGCTTCACTAGAGTCACTTCTCGATTTCTACGAAGCTGCTCTTTGTGGATGACAGCGCTGGCGATGCACTACATTCTTAACAAAACGACCTTTCGCCGTGTAAACAAAGCGCAAGATCTATTTATATGAAGATTGAGTATGTTATTTATCGAACGAAATCAAACGAGCAAGTGCTACGCCATCCCAAACATAGTCTTGACTCAGTCTCAAAAATAATTATTTTCTATACATTATGTTATGGACTTGTAGTCCCTTCGAGTGCGCCCCTGTGTGTCTGATGTCATGCTATGTAGACTGTTTGAAGTAGTTCATGCGGTCAAGATCCCACATTGCATGTCACTTATTTCAATTTTTCTATTCTTTCCGGGGCTGACCTGATCCGTTCATATAGATCCAAGCGCTAGGCACCCAACTTTCGAAACGCAAGCAACGTTGTGCGCATTTTCATACTTCTTTGAGATTTCAGAGGTTGAATCTTGAACTGAAGGGTGCAGAACTTTATCATCAACCCACAAGGTAAGATCCGAATGGCCTTTCGCCGGTATTTGAAAGTCGTCAATCCCTATTGAGGAAGAAAGAGATTGGATAAGGGAATTCCCATTGATGACATATAACAAGAGGAGAAGAAAAGAGTAACCCAACACACGGTTCTTGGATCTTTCTAAACGTTGACGTGACCTTTCGGAACCAGTTTCTTGACGCGATTTTGAGGTTACTGTATTTATTTTGCTCAGTGCTCGAGCTGTCGCCTGCTCAATATCAACTTTTGCCCTCAATGAAGCCCCTTCCATTGCTTGAAGAATCAACTCATTACTAGGATGGAAAGATACACGAAAACCTTCGTTGTCCACTTTGCTACTGGGTGAAAAAGAAACTCGATAATCTTCGTCGTACTCTTCGTAGTCTTCGACTTCTGCTTCATGCCCATAGGGAATCTCGATTTGCTGGATATCATCAACGGCTTTGGTCGGCACTCGATCAGTTTTGCTGCTCGCTGACGCAGTGATGTCACTTATCGCACGAAGATAGGAATTGTGCGAGCTTGTTGAAATCAAGTCGTCTTCTTGGTACTGCTGTTGGTGATAAACAAAGTCGTCTGAACTTGTTGAGAGATCGCTTTCATTTTCGATGTCAATCTCTGTTGGCAGTATTCCTGTACATGACTGTTTCGATGCCGATACTTGACTGAGAGAGAGCAATTCTTCGTCGGTGTTGTCTTCTTCGAGATAAAGCGAAAAGTCAACAGCAGGAGCCATGCTGTCAATTTCTTCGTCTTCCTCCAATGTAATATTACTTCTACTTGGTTGCGAGACTGTGTGTGATACGGGATTTTCGATATCTTCGAGATTCTTTTCGTCGTTTACTGATGGTTCAATGCTTGTAATGTCTTCCGACAACGTTGCATTAGTATCAGTTGACATTTGACTTGGAATATCTTCCGATGACATACTGTCTCCACCAATCACGACGACTTCTTCGAGAGCCATTTCGTCGTTAAATGAAGGTTCATTACTTGTAGTGTCTTCTGACAACATTGCATTAGTATCAGTTGACAATGGACTTGGAATATCTTCCGATGACACATTGTCTCCACAAATCATGGCGACTTGCACGTCATGGATCTGAAGAGAATTACATTTATCATGGGTATTTTCGTTAGAGAAAGTTTCGATGGGGGCCTTATCATCTTGAACCATACCACTATTACAGGCGGAGATTACACCTGCTTCCAAATGCTTTTGAATAGGTGTTTTCAGATTTAAGTACTGATTAGGTAGGAGATGACGCATTGTTCCAGAATCACAACGTTCCTCTTCCTCTTCATCTTGTTGGAGCTGACTCAAGAGGGTAGTACTATCTCCAGTTTCGAAAGTTCCGACCGATCTTGGACTTATGGAATCCTCAGTTTCGAAAGTAGAGGCTGGGGCGATCCATCCTTGTTCTTCGTCGCGCTTTCTTAGATTATCCGACACATACTTTTCCTTCTTGTTGTTAATAATAGTTCTACTAGAACGCTTAGACAACTGCTTTCCGACTCTACGTATAGGTGCAGACATCATCTTGCTGAACGACCGCGATTTACTTTTGCCCTCCCTCCCTTTTTTCATGGGCGATGGCCCCCAACGAAAGGGATCATCCTTCAGTTGACGAGCATCAATATACGAAGTAGCCGCACTGTGTATCCTCATCGTGCACCTCACTCTAATTTCAAAACTGTAATCACTGTGCAAACATATCACTTGATTGATCGCTTGTCACGGTTGATATCTGTTTTGTAAAATTGTGAAAGATTCTGTAGCAAACCGAAGAATAGTTGTTGACTTCAATAAAATCAGAAGAATTTCGTTCAAATTCCAAATTTTCTGACGACTTCCGTGAAGAAAAAATCCGTGAACATTTCTGTTGCTGGCCCGCGCGATAACGAAATATAACGGTGTGAAACGGATACGATGTCTCGATTCTGATTCGTCTAGATTGATTCACGAATAGTACGTAAAACCTTATTGATGGATTGTTTGTTATTATGGCGCGCCCCTTCTGGTTCGCGCACTTCATGAATTTTTATCAAACTTCCAAATACTGTCAATTTCGTCTGATTTGAAGAAAGTCGTCGACCATCACGTTTCATTTTCCTGTTCATTATCGTTTTTTGCAGTTCAAGCACGACTCGCACAAACCAAACCTAACTATCGATAGAAGTACCAAGTAAAAGAGCAAGAACCATGAAGCAAATGAAAACCAAAGCGAAGGCCACCATTACACGTATTGTCAAGGTTCCACAAAAGATAGGACATTCCGTTCTCACGGTTCAAGATAAATTGAAAAAGAAGCAAGGGGAAAAGAAGGACGAAGAGTACCCCGACTGGTACTATGCCGAAAGGGACGAAGCAACCTACAAATCGAAAATATCGCACGCAAAAGTATGCTCGGACATTATAGAAGATCAACATGCTCGCTCCTCGGTAACAGAATCGCGAGATGAATGCATTCGGGAAATAACGGATCATTTGAAGCTGTTTCTCTTCGAAAAATCTAATTCGAATTCAGAACGATATGAATACGAGGAGTGGATAATGGCTTTGCATCCCGAAAATGTAGACTTTATTGGTAGCGGGAGGTCTCTGATTGATCACAGATTCTATATGAAAGATAGTCATCATCGGGAGCTATGGAACGAATGCATGATCACGATGAATTGTAAGGAGTCGATCGTACCGGAAGAGTCGAGATCAAACAAAAATAAAAGTAGAACGTTGGTGGACGTTTTGGTGGAGGAGCCAGAAGAGCTGTTTAGTGCAATCGATCAAACTTGTTGCTTTACTCGAGAGCCATAAGTAAGGTGCATTTCTTAAACATGTGTGCAAAATCCCATTACTAGTAGTACCCTCTGCAGCATGAGTAAAGAACCAATCTACTCCAGTAGTCAAGAAAGTAGATGGCTACAGTGCACTTAACTACTACCACTTTTCACTTATGCATGGGAGTTAGTGACCTCATTGAAGAATTTTTACTGCTCTGGACTTACCAAAGCTTTCATCCTTAATTTAATGATGTCATCCTTAATTTCTACTGTACAAGTTCTACAGAACTCTGCTTAGTTTTGCTCCCCACCATTTTCAGCATGATTTGCCTTCTGAGAAAGAAGCATGATTATTTTTGTGCCACAAGAAAAGTTACAAACTACCTCAGTAGATTTTGTACTGTGTTCCAAGTAATTTCACTCTTGATTTCATCACACCTCCTTTTTTACCCTTCTTCTTGCTTTCTACTATTTGCTTTCCATTCAACTGACTAACTTCAACAAGCCTTGTTCCTGTTTGGTGCACCTCGAGTGACTCAGTCTTCTTTACCTCTACTGATATAGCAAGAAATTGTCAGAGCTTGCTGATAGACGGAAAGTATACCTAACATCTTGGTGTGTCTCTGGGATGTATGGTCTCCATTGCTTCTTCTAATAATATGGGGAGCAAGAGCATCTCGCATCTCTATTTCTTTCATTGATAGGGGATCCATTGATAAGCCTTGCAACTCCCACATCTGTCATTGCTCCCACTGATATGGGATCCATCAACTTACTGCTGGTGCTTGCATTCTCTCTATTAATTGCTGCTAACAATCAACTGACAGACAAATGGATCCTATCTTTGAGCTGGTATGAATTACTTGGTGTTTTGCTGCTTGTTTTCCCTCACTTTATTCTGGCTCACTTCTTTCTAAAGCAAACAAAACCAGATGATCACAGACTTAAGTTGTGATACAGCGGCAAGCAAGACAGCAGCAACAATCAAGACAGCAGCAAGCAAGACTGCAAGTACTAAGACTACCAGCAAGACTGCCAGAAAATTCTCTACTCAACCATGAAGAAAGCTCAGCAAGAACCTGACCAACAACCAGAGACTAGCAATTGTTCAGTATCTTTTGCAACAAAAAATATACAGTGGCACAAAGGGCTGGAATATCAATGGTGAGGTTGATAAAGAAATGTTACTCAACAAAGTATTAAAGCAATCTATGAAAAATGGCTAAGAGGATCTCTTGGTCGTCCTCCAGAGATCATTATCCAATAAGATAATGCTAGCCCCTTCACAAGAAGTAGCCCAAGCTAAGTGATTAGCATCAGATCTTCTGGCTCTAAGAAAGTTCTTTCCAACACAGACGCCTACTAAAGTCTCCATGTAATCCAGTAGAATATTCCAGTTAGTAAACTAGTACTATGGATTTGGGGATTTGGGGATAACTGGCTCACATCCTTGGGAATATCATACTATCACAGAATTTGGAGGAGCCTATAGGTATATACACAATCCTCTAGTAATTATAGAGAGTTCCAGAATGCTCTGGACTATAAAGTAGACTGAGAGGATGGAAGTGAAGGCAGACTCCTAAATGCCTTCCCCCTAGTATCTTGCCACAGATAATTGTATAGTTAAAGGAGCTTTATTCCTCAAGGGAGGAACCAGTAATAGCTCAAAGCTGTTAGAAATGGTTGTAGCCTTTGGATATGTTTTGGTGCTCAGAGGATCAGAAGGCTTCTTGTTCCTCATGGACATGTATCCTCTGCTCCTTTGAAACACACAATGAACTGAGCCCAGCAGGATTTGTTTGGCTCCCTTTGCATGGGAAACTTAAGTGAGGTTCATCTTCAAACACCTGTTTAATGAGGTATATTGGAATTACTGGATCCAGAATCAAAATTTGTGCTTGGAGGGATCGACTGCTAGTAACAGATGGTGAGCAGATACACAACAAGAAAGCAAGAAATTGACAACAAAAAGCAGCAGGACCGGCTTTTTCTTTTGATAAAGACAGATATATCCTCCTGTCAACACAGGCTATGAATGAGCTTCTTTGCTGGGAGGCAACTGATGAGATACTTTTTCAATTAAACCCAGAGTAATTACCCAGCTCTCTAACCTCGAAAGAAAGTATATGGACCTACATACAGATAGATTGTACAATATGGAGATCCGCAACATAGCAATCTATTTGGGCCCGTCTGAGAGGAGACGATAGACCTGTTTGTCAGTGCGCGAATCTTGTCTTCATTTTGTATCAAGCGCGTGAATACAAGCAAAAATAAAAAATCGAGCTTCTCGACGATTTCGTTCAATATCTTTTTTTCGTGGAGTTTCTACGAATTACTACAACGAAGTATGTACCTGGTACTTCACTTTTCTAATACAGTATCTTTGCAATTAGATATTTGCTGTGATGGTGGTGATGCAGTCCAAGAATCACATCAAATCGAATAACTACACCGATGCAGTCCAAAATGCATATGGATCTTATGTTATAAATGGCGGAGACGGCAATAATGTTCTGAAGATCCGTGGAGAAAACTTGGGTTACGATTCAAGTTTCCTAAAGCGGTGCAACCTGATAACTACAATTAATGGCGACGAAGACTCACTGGAAAGCGCAGCCGAAACCAGGCAGCATGGCATTCAAACACTTTTTATGGCCTTTTGTGGAAGTGGCTGTCCACTCAGAATCGACAGCGATAAGCATCTCCCGAAGGAAGGAGATGTAATTGTTGATTTAGGCTGCGGTGCTGGACACGACGCAATTCTTGCAGGCGGGTTGGCCGGAAAAAGTGGTAGAGTTGTCGGTATTGATTTCACCCAAGCCATGATTGATCAATTTATTAAGAACGCTGAAACATACGCAAGTGAAGATGGAGGAGATACTTCTTTTGCCCCTTTCGAATCAGTCACTGGTAGCTTGGAGGATCCAGAGCAACTTTTCTCGTCCACCGGTTTAAAGAAAGGATGTGCCGACATCGTTACGTCAAATGGAGTTTTCAACCTGTGTGCAAATAAAGCACTAGCGTTTCAGACAGCATACGATCTTTTGAAACCGGGTGGGAAGTTCCTGTTGAGCGATGTTTGTATCGTGGAAGAAAATCTCGATGCAAAGATATCCTGTACAGTTGGTGATGAAGTCACTAGCTGAGTTGCGGGCTGTGTCCATGTGCACGAGAACATAAAATATCTTGAAAATGCAGGATTTGTTGACGCACGACTCACTGCCCACCCCAACTTTTGGACATCGTCCAAAACTCGAGGATCTGATTTTGTTGCTACCAAACCGGTAGCATCAGCATCGGTTGACCAGGGCAAAACCGTACCGTACATCCTACCGTAGAAGAATCACTGAGAAGTAAAGAAGGTGCAGCATAATGACGGGAACATGCAAACAATATGAATCATTGATTTACGTTCTGTTCCCTGACGAAGCGTACAAAACGGTGCGACGCCTGTACCATAGATCTGCGATTACAATAGAGTAGACGGAAAAAATCATAGCAATGCTGAGTTTTAATTTAGAGAGTAGAAGTGATAAAAAATGCATGCATGCCAGCAAGCAAAAAGTGGGAGAATTTGATGTGTGTGACTATTAAACCCTGACATGAAATGCATGTCGAATTATTGAGATGATGTAGGAAACCATTTTTCCAACAGATCTGTGTCAAAGTCAGGGCATTCGATGGATGAATCCTTCAGGGCCCTTTGCAAGTTGTCACTGTCCATTTCCAACCAGGTGTAGGCTAAAAAGTATTTTTCAAAGGACAACCAGCCACTGGAAAGCTTTTCGTTCGTGGTAGCTATGCGTTTCATCCATTCGGCACGGGTGACCGATTCGATGGGCTTGCTCGTGTCCCGCTGGTTCAGCCATTCCACGACCTTGTCGAGACCGACTGGTTTGTTAGGAGATTGAAGATGGATGCGTTGACCGATTGCCAAATGTGGACTCTGAGTGGCGAGCTCAGTCACGGCCTTGGCCGCGAAGTCTACGGGAGTAAGATCCAAGGCGTAGTTTGTGTCTACTGTAGGAGCGCAACCTGTTTCCAAGATGCCCTGAATCAACAAATAGTTAAGATCATCGGGATTGGAGACCCCCGTGAGACTGCTGCCGGCCATGTTTCCTGGTCGCATGACACTCACAGGAAGACCACGCGATTCGGCCACGGCGCACATCCGTTCCGCCACCCACTTTGTCATCGCGTAACCTTCAGATAGGAAAGGGCTGAACTTGTCGAGATCGACGTCCTCCTTGAGGTGGACCGTGCTTCTTTCAGCTTCAAGCTCAGCTTCTGAAAAGTATGCCTTCGCATCAACGGGAAAGATACCATTCGTGCTAATATAGTGCACAGGCTTGACTTTGGTCTTGATAAACCCATTGGTAGTGGCCAAACGCAAGACTTCCTGTGTTCCAAGCACATTTGATTTCTTTAGGGACGAGTAAGGTTTGATCAAGTTAACTTCGGCACCACAATGGATAATCGAATCGATTTCCAAAGCCAGAGATTTAAATTGCACATCGTTCATTCCAAGGAGTGGTTTGGAAAAATCTCCCGCAATGGCAACCAACCGAGAGTCCAGGACGTTCTCGCTAGTTTTGATATCCGCAACCTCGTCAGACTTCTTTTCTTCGTCCGGCGACTGGAGGGCTTGGAGCGTGCTTTGCAACAGCTTGTATTTGTCCATTGTTTTCAGCAATCGTTCCCTGGCGGCAGCGTCGTTTTCGGCACGGGCCAGACAGATGGTGGTCAGTCCGGGAATCTTCAGCAACTCGGACAAAATGTGCGATCCCAAGTAACCGGTGCCACCMGTCAAAAAGACAACTCTTGGTTTCAAGAGGGCGCTCGATTCAAAGCGGAACCGAGACATAGCGTCTCCCTTTCGTGTAGCAAAGGGGTAGATCGAAGGGTCCAGTGATAGGGCTTCGGCTTGCATATCGACTTTGTTCGCAGTCACATCAGTTTCGGTACTTCCCTCGTTCAGGATAGAGTTGGAAATATCACGAACGGTTGGAGCTTCCATGACCGTGATGATCGACAATTCCGTAGAGAATTGCTCGTTGATCATCGTTACCATTTTGGTTGCCAACAACGAATGGCCTCCTACTTCAAAGAACGAGTCGACGACGCTCAATTCTTCGGCCGGAAGATCCAAGAGTAGACTCCAGATATCCAAGATTCCCTTCTCGGTATCGTTTTCCGGCTTGATGCGAGAGTTGGACTTGTTTGTTTCTTTGTTTCCATCGTCGAGGTCGGCATCGTCGATCGAAAAGGCGCGGAGCCTCTGCGCCGTTTCGTGCGATGGAAGCTTCTTTCTGTCGAGCTTTCCGGCGGCACTGGCCGCCACCGGCAATGCGTCAATGACGCAGAATGTGGACGGGATGGCGTACGGAGGAACATGTTCCTTCAAAAATTCCCGTACACTCGAGGCCGACGGAGCATCTTCCCAGGAGGCGGGAACAACGTAGGCGACGAGTTTCTTGTCCCTCGATCCTTCCCCTCCGACCGCCAACACAACGGCGCTCGATAGCTTGGGGTGCTTGGCCAGGGCCGTTTCGACGGCCCCCAAAACAACAGAGTATCCCCGAATCTTGACCATGAAATCGCAGCGCCCCAATATTTCCAGCTCCTTGGAATCTGGCAGGATGCGCCCGAGATCTCCGGTGCGGTACAAACGAGGAGCATGGATGTTGCTGTCGTCGCCGTCGAGGCCCAGAAACGGGTTTTTGACAAACCGATCGGCGGTCTTCTCGGGCATGTTGAGATAACCGCGTCCCACGACGGGCCCGCCAACATAGACCTCTCCCTTTTCACCCTCCGGTACCAATTTCATGACTCCGTTCTTGGTAGTAGATTCGTGGTCATCGTTTTGTTCCAAATCGACGATGTAGAATTTGACCCCCGGGATGGCCTTTCCGCAGGTGGCATATTTTCGGACCTCGCCCCCCTCGCTCGGTCCTAGCTCTCTCTTGAGATCGCCGATGCTCACGTCGTGGCACTCAGAAATGCTGTACAGATTCATCAATTCAACGTTTGGCAAAAGCGAGGTAAAGCCGACGGCCAGGTCTCGGCTGACGACCTCTCCGCAGAGCCACAAGTACCGGAGCCCGGCCAATCGTTCCTTGACGTCCTCCGGTGCAAGGGTGTCCATAACGAGCTGCAGCAGGCTGGGCGTCCAGAGGATGCGGGTGATTGCCCGGTCGCGTACGAACTTTGTTACGGCCTCCGGATCAAAGAGGACGTGATCGGGAATGACGACGGTGGTTGCCCCCTTGAGGAAGGGTCGAAACAATTCCCAGACGAAAAAGACACCCGCTCCGGCGCGATCCTCGACGTCGCCAGTCTCCGCGTTCGTTTGGAAGGGAAAGCGAATCGTGCGGTCCAGATAGGAGTGCACCGCGGCTCGGTGGGTCTGGCAGATCCCCTTGGGAGTGCCGGTCGTTCCTGAACTCATGACGCAAAAGGCTAGGTTGTCGGCGTTGGGGTGGACGTACGAGGGCGGAGGATAGGAAGGGCGTTCACCGGAGAAGTCGTCCACAAAAAAGGGAGCTTCGTCTGTGAACGTCAGAACCAACGAGGGATCAATGCGACCGGCGTAGGTATCGTTCGTGAAGACAAGCTTGGCGTTGGTCTCCTTGACGGCACGTTCCAGGAGGGGCTTCGGGTAGACAAGCTCTAGCGGCATGTAGGCGCCCCCCGCCTTGAGGATTGCAACGCAGGCCAGGACGTATTGGGCGCAACGGGGAAGCAAAATTCCCACGACCGCATCTGGTCCCACTCCGTAGTCTTCAATGATTTTCACGGCGAGAGCGTCCGTGATCTCATCCACCTCGCGGTAGGTCAACTCGATGGGTCCTTTGTCGTCGTCGCCGGCAGCGCTGTAAGAGGAATTGTAATCAACGAGAGCCACCGCGTCGGGGGATTTCTTGGCTTGTTCGATGAACAAGTCTTGAAGACACAGGTCGTCAAACATTTTGTTGGAGTAGGTGATTGTGTCCATCTTGACTAAGGGGGGTCGCTACAGAATTGTATTAATGACAGAAGTGAGGGAACTTCTTGTCGACCTTCTTGCCGGTGAGAAAGGAGAAAGAATGCAAGACGGAGCACTCAATCGGGTGCTATTACTCGTACGATACGATTACTCGTACGCTGTTGTACCGTACTACTAGAAGAAAGCACGTAGGTGAGCAAAACGCTAAAAAGTTGGAAAATAGTACGAGGTACGGTACGGTACGGTACGAGTACTGTACCGTACGTTGTTCATGTTGTACCGGTACATGTTTCGAACGCTATCGTTCGCAGCTTTCTTCCCGATAATCATACTTCCAACCCGCACATGCACGCGTTTTGTGGAAAGGCCACATGTTGAATTCAAAATCATTGGCGGCATTGCTTCATCTGTTTGAATTTTCACGCCGGCTGGGTTCTTTGTTCCCTTGAATTTTTTAGTCGAATGGGTCAAAATTACCTTTTGATACCCTTCATAGTTTTCATGCAGATCTACGATTCTTGTACGGAAAGCGTAAAGTTCTTAGTCCTGCATGCGTCTCTAATCATTATTTCACCTTCTTCAATTCAGTACGATTACGATACCTAAAAACTCGTACGGTAATCTATGACCGTGACCTACTAAGAGACATATCGCTAGGAAGTTTCACTAGGCGAAAATACAAAATACAGCAGTGAAAGTAGAAGGTACTGTATTTTTTTGTTTTTTGTCATCCCAAGTAAAAAGTGCTGTATTGTACGGTATAATTTGTACCTGTGCGTGCGTCGCCTAGCTATCCCATTACGTACTTCAGTACGAAAGTTCGTAATACAGTAAGTACCGAACCATTCGCTCAAGAAAAGAACGATTAGATTCACTTCGTCGTTTTGTTAGTCTATCTTATCGTAATTGTATTGTACGGACGGTACAGGTACCGTGAAATGTACGGTGCGTAGGAATACGACATCGCACGGATTCATTGAATCATCTTCTGATTGATTGTTCTTGTTCAGATCTTCCGAGCTCTTGTAGTCTCATGCGGATTGTTCGCAGGACCTGACACTACTCGTACCATCATTTCCGTCGACATTTGCAATCCGAGTTAGGGCTTGGAATAATGCTCATCAACTATCATTCATAGGAAGAATTCTTCTGAGTTGCTGACAAATCCAAATCGAAATTACAATCGAAATTAATTCGATACCAAAATTCAAAATCGAACCACAACGGAAAGAACAATAACATAATACTTTATCTAATATGGCAAAGCATTCCGCATCGGATGGTGGCAGCGATAGCAGCGCCGAGAAACGCTCGCCGTCTCCTCACAAAAAGCTAAAGATGACAATCAGGCTACCGTCGTCGATTTCAGCGGAGAAAAATGGCTATTCGAATTTTTTAATGAGCAACACGGCAAGCGATGCCGCTAGCAACTGCATCGAAAACGATACGAGCAACAACAACGATCCGGTTGCGAACAATACAATCAGACTACAACTCCGTCCCAAAAACGTGTTTATTCACGATCTTTTTGACATCCAAAAACAAATCGGAGAGGGGGGCTTTGGCAAGGTCTTTCTGGCAGTGCGCATCTGCGATGGAGCAAAGGTAGCACTCAAGTCCATTCCATTAAACCACGGCAGTAGCAGCGAGGACAGCATTCAGCGCGAAGTCGCGGCCATGCAGGCGCTGTCCGATCCGGGACATTCCCATGTCTGCCGCTTGTACCATCCACCATTGCGAGACAATTCCTACACGTACCTCGCCATGGAATACATCGGTGGAGGGGAACTCTTCGAGCACCTGTGCAACCGGGGGCCCTTTTCGGAACACGACGCGGCAAAATTTCTCCTTCAGTTCGCCGATGGTCTTCGCTATATCCATTCCAAACGCTACGTACACTCTGACCTCAAGCCCGAGAACCTCATGATGGGGTCGTGGCAAAAGGAAGAAGCATGCCTAAAAATAGTGGATTTTGGCTTTTCGGTTCCTGACCACGAGTCTATAAAGTTGCCCTTTCACGGGACCATTGCATACCTCCCACCCGAATGCCTCCAGAAGGGCTACAACGGCCTCGGTGGTCCAAGACATCCAACAGCCGCCGGGGATATGTTTGCTGCGGGGGTAATTGTCTACACGGTGCTGACGGGGACCCATCCATTCGATCGAACGAACCAGGCACCAGATTCAGTGATCGCTAGGGCTATTGTTGGGAGCCTCACCTCCTTTCGAGCACAGAAAATAGCACCTGTCGATAAAAGCGATGGTCCCAACCAACAACACGTCGAGCATCTCGAAAGACACGTCTTTGACGATCGAACTGAGGGCCTGAGCTCTTCCTCGGTCTCGTTGATGAAACGTCTCTTGCACCCCGATTCGAAACAACGCATGACCGCATCCGAATTTTGCAACCATCCATGGATACTKGGACAAACAGCGGCGACGCATTGCCTATCGCACCCTCACCATTCTAGGCTAAAGGAATTCTGGAGGCGCCGGTTCCGCGCTGCAATCCTTGAGAAATTCTGGGGACAGGCAGTGACAAACCACCATCACCAAGGCGTGGTCGATGGAGCCGATCCAGGATGCCAATCACGGTCCGCGAGACCATCGTTCCAACGACACAGCCTGTCGCTGAAGGATTCGGAACTTGTGTTTCGATCGATGGACCTGAATGGAGACGGAACAGTTTCGCTGGACGAGCTGAAACGCTGCATGATGGGAAACACATCGTCCTCGATTTTTGGTGGCGGTGATCATAGTAGCAGCAGGATTAAACAATACATGATTGACGATATTTTCTCCAGCATCGATGAAGATGGCAGTGGGGGCATTGATCTCGGGGAATTCCAACGGGTTATGGGGAATCGGTTGGATGGCGACCATCGTGTGCGAAAAAATGGTTTCAACGATCGCGAAAATTCCTGTAACACTTCTAGCAGCAACGATAACGACGAGCAGATTTTGGAGAATAGTAACGAACAAGTAAGGGGATGTATATTTCAAAAGTTTTCAAAGAAAGCCGCATCGAGGGAGAAGATTAACGAAGGGACTGCCCCTACAAGAGATATGTTGCGAACAATTTTTGATTCTATGGATATTAACAAAGACGGCGTGCTACAACTTTCTGAGGCGATCACTGTGCTTAAGGAGACACCTGGACTAGATGATGACATGATATACATATGGGTAAGTACTGCTGTCGCTTTTTATGTCGGTGATTGTTTACCATCTTTTTTGGTGCTTCTCCTTACAGCATCTCCTCCTATCACTATGACGATTGATGTACAGGCGGACAAAGCTGACATTGACTTAAATGGGGAAATTGATTTCGAGGAATTTTGCACAGCAATGATGAGTAATAATACGAGTAACCTAAATGATTAACTAAATAAAAAATGCTTTATCCTATGTTTATCTTTTTGTCATGTTCTTTCCTCGGTGGGGAAGGAGATAGAGATAGCTTCATGCTGGCGTGAACGTTGAAGCCGATATGGTCTATAAATAGTGAAATAATTTTACTTCTGCATTTTTCAGTTTACAAAAAGTGTAAGACGTCATAAAAACAAGAAACGTCGCAAATTGTTGTGGTAATCTTCTATCAGTGTACCAACACAAGAAAATATTTATGCTTTAAATCAAAAAGAGTGCGCACACGTAGATTCTTTTTATTTATCTATCGACTTAAATCGATGGGGTCAGCAAAACCCTTGAAGTAAATTCAACGTGCCACATGAGACATGGATCATTCTTTACCCTATCTTAATTATTGAAACAAAATGACGGGATCTCAGTATGAACTTCAAGATTACAGATATTGTCCTACGATACACCAGTAGTATGAGTGCCATTAGTAAACTTTTGAACGAAGCCGATGTTTTGAGTATCACCGCTTTTTGGTGTAATTTTTCCAACTCCTCTCGCATGGATCTAACAAGTACTTCACGACGTACTGCAAGTGTTGGTCAAATTGGATTTCCAATTGCACAAAACGATGAAGTATCCACTCTTGTCCATTCTTGGCACGATTGGTAGAACATTGAAGTTGATTGAATAACTGTTTTGGGCATATGTGAAGATGTTTTACCGATTTTATGTAAGTTACATGATGAAATTAGATCGGTTTAAATGGTGTCCTTCCTTCGTAAGGTCTTGCAATCTACATAACTGAATTATCTTTACGTACTTGTACGCACGTACAGTTATTCAATTCCCATTTCAATTGAAGGATCCCTCTGTCCTTAGCCTTACGAATGACGGACATTATATTTGAGAAATCAATTGGTTCGTCGATGAACACGCAAGATCCATAATTTTTATTGAAACCCAGACTGACATAAATAATACGTTTCATAAATGTCAAAATGACTTTCGAGTCTCCAAGGAGTTCTTCAGAACGAGTTTGGACGGCGTGAAGTTCGCACGTGAGGAAAACCTTCAACGTTTTCCTACTTGGAATCGTATCAAAGATGCACAGGGAACACATGTCTGATCGTAAAAGCGCTGGAAAACGGGTCTCATTCTTTTATCATCGAAGCCAAGATCACGCGACGAAGTAGTAACCGAGAACCAACATTTATTAACATTGAAGAATTTCCTTTACTCATTGCCAACACAAAAATAAATCCTCCGCATCACTGAAGCAAGTAAAATGATTCAACCACATAATGAAATATCTGCTACTCCTCCTACTGTGGCCATCAATGATTCATCACGAATTGGGAAGCGTAGATTGTCTTTCGTGGGATCGTGCGATGACAGTGAGGCAATGATTATCACCAAACAGAGAAAATTGGATGCGCTCTCAATTGACGATACCTTCGAAGCTCTAGATATCGAATCTTCCCATTCCAAAGTTGTCAGTTTTCCTCACGAATCGATGCCTACTTCCGAACAAGAGGAAATTTTCGAATGGATGGAAAGTGTTATCAACGGCGCTGTGAGTGAAAACGCTACCGGAATGCCCGAAGCTGCATCATCATCGACGACGACGCAAATGGAGAATAATGTTTCTGAATTCAATTCTTCCGGGAAAGATACCGAGTTTGATTCTTTTCTAGTTATGAACAAATCAGATCCATGCTATGAAGAAATGATCTCTCTTCTTGCAGATGATGGAAAAATAGTCGTCGACGACCACAACAAAAAAGAGAACGACAACATATTCAAAAATCTGAGAGAGTCGTTCGCTTCTGATCGATTGCCAAAAGATATTTCACTCCGTACGGAACAACTAGCATCAACGAAAAAAAATTCGAAGGCAACTCGGTCATCGAGAATTAGTATTAGAGAAGGACTCGAACAACTCGTAAATGCGAGCAGACTATCAGCAAAGACGCGAACGATGCTGTTGGCTTGCACAATAAATCTCTGCAAGGTCAAAGACCAACAATAAAATCTCTCACATATGTGGGCTATGTCATAAAAAATCGAATTTTCTCAACACGAGTTGTAGAAATAAATCATATGAACAAAAACCAATGTTTCTCGAAATCGCAACCTTCCTCTCTTTTCGTAATGCTGCAAGAAAAAATTAAAGCATGCTCGAGGATCATGGTTAGTTGCGGCTGCTATCATCCCCGCTGTTGCTATCAACATCATTGTATCCATCGACACCTCCATCGTTTTGTTGCTTTTGCCGCAGTTCCGCCTGCGATTCGGCAAATCTCAAGGCTTTTGCCGCTTTCCATTTGAAGGCGATTGCGATAGACGACAGCATGCATGCCCAGCATGCATAGTAAAGGTTCGAACCAGGCATGAAACGCGTTAACCTGCATGGCGTGGGTACCCCGTCTTTGATGATTGTACAGTTATATATTTTCGAGATGTTCCCCCAATTAACGTTCAGGTTAGGCAAGCAATCGAATCCCGAAATGGTTGAAGCTATTCCACCTGTCGGTTCGCCCACCGTTTGCCGCAGAAGTCATAGCGATCAATTCAGAACGGAGTGTGCCAAGCAAATATGTTAGATGGGATTGGAATTTTCCATTGACAAACGAGGCTCCTCCAAGCTCGAGAGAAATAAACATACCGCTGCTAGTACTGTTCCAACGGTGATCATAAATGCAGAAAAGCAACAATCAGGCAAAAATAGACGGAGAGAGTAGTGCGAAGAGCACACACATTATTCGTTGGATGAGAGAAATGACGTAGCAAAGATCCTTCATATTGGAAGACAGTTACCAACAAAAGAGAACTAATTTGAATCGAATACCCCCAAAAACTCACAAAATTGACAAGGCAATGACCCAAGCAAAGATCAACAAGGCGGTGGAAAAAAGTTCCGACCACCCACCTTCCTCCACACATGTAATAAAATCGTAATGTACGAGGATAAAAAACGACGAAATTACCAACGACACCACTCCCATAAATATCCCAAACAATGCGTCTTGTTTTTCATTCATCAAGCCTTGGATTATGTAGTTACCCAAGCGCACTTCCTAAGTGGAAATCAAAAAACGAAAGAGAGAGACGTGATGAAAAGAATATCCTCGATTTATTACCGAAAAAAAGGCGCTGTCGTAGTCTCAATACTCCACTTACCAGGCTTATGGAACTGACAAAAACAACAAAAGCAGCAGTGAAATGAATCCACCAATATCGCAGGGTGAAGGATACCGACGTGATTTCTGCGATCGACAAGATACCCTTCGAATCACTCCATTCGTTGAGAGTGTATATACAGGCAGCGATAGTAAGCCATGCACTGTAGTAAATATTGCTCACAGTATAGGCAATTCCACCAGGGCGAGTTATGTAAGAGACACCAACGATCCACCAGAGTACAAAAAAAACGAGGACCGATCCCTCTAGATATCCATTCTTGCAGTTTGTGAAGTTGAAGCATCTGCCGAGTCTACTCTGGCACCGGTCAACAATCAGGATGGTCGAAGCCATCAAAAATGTCATTACCCCAAAGATCATGACAGATGCCCAATGAGTCCGACGTACTTGCTCCGGAATGTTTGAGATGGAAACAAAATTAATCCCAGAGAACGTGAGTATGCAGAGGTAACCCATCCATCGCGGATTGTATTCGAGAGGTTCTTGATCTTCACCCTCTCTGATATTTCCCGCAGAAGGCGTGGCTGCTACCTTCGTTGAGGCTGACGACATGCTATTGGTTGCGTTTAGTTCATGTAGATTGTCGCTACAAAATCCGCACTAGTGAAGAACTCTGGTGTTGATCACTTCCAACCTTTTACCCCTTCTGTATTTTGTCGTTCTTAAATCTGATTGTGTCGGTGGCATAGCATATGGTGTTGATCGAAAAAGACCGTTGTTCGATTCTACGCAAGTCTTCAAAGAGGAGAAACAACACCATACAGTGGTATGATCTTAATTACAAGTATTCTTTCTGAACCGAACTTCCTGTTCGTACCGGTACGAGGTTCCGGTATCAGAAGATCAAAACAACAACATCTTTCTTTTAAAGATGGAAAATACGAAATACCATTACGAGTACTGGTACAGAACTCCGCGAATAATCTGTCTACCTACCGGCCGGTACGGTACTGTACCGTACGGTATTACTCGTAGGTACGGTAGTACTGTACTCAGATCGTAGGTACCGTACTGTAGTGGGGGTCAGGGGTCATAATTTGGTTGGGGTACGGTACCGTACGTACTTCTAACCAGGGGTCATAATTCAGAGGGGAGCGCATCGAATCGAAACACATATTCCACCTTCGGTCCAAATTTCCAAAAAGTCACACAAGGATTTTTTTTCATTCTCATTTTTACTGCATAATACTAGTAAAACTATCCAACCTTTAAGCAGTTAYAGCTTTATCAAAAATACTACTATTTTAATTTTTGAGTAGCCAGTCTAGTCCAGTTTTTTATGCTGATTCTGAATATAYCATTTTGTYGGATATCAAATTGATATTTGTGGTACTATTTTATTATTGAAAAATGAACATAATTTTCCACAGTAGTACTAGTAGTAGTAGTAGTACTCTATTACCACTACTACTACTAGTACTACTACTACTACTAGTAGTAGTACTACTACTCTAGTGGTAGTAGTAGTAGTACTACTAGTAGTAGTAGTAGTAGTACTAGTAGTAGTACTAGTACTAGTAGTAGTAGTAGTAGTAGTAGTAGTAGTAATAGCGGTAGTAGTAGTAGTAGTACTCTATTACCACTACTACTACTACTACTAGTACTAGTAGTAGTACTACTACTACCACTAGAGTAGTAGTACTACTACTAGTAGTAGTAGTAGTAGTACTAGTAGTAGTAGTGGTAATAGAGTACTACTACTACTACTAGTACTACTGTGGAAAATTATGTTCATTTTTCAATAATAAAATAGTACCACAAATATCAATTTGATATCCAACAAAATGGTATATTCAGAATCAGCATAAAAAACTGGACTAGACTGGCTACTCAAAAATTAAAATAGTAGTATTTTTGATAAAGCAGTAACTGCTTAAAGGTTGGATAGTTTTACTAGTATTATTCAGTAAAAATGAGATTAAAAAAAAATCCTTGTGTGACTTTTTGGAAATTTGGACCGAAGGTGGAATATGAGTTTCTCTTTTTTTCTCTCGCACTTCGTTATGCACAAAAAATTCGATGCGCTCCCCTCTAATTATGACCCCTGCTTCTAACCAGGGGTCATAAATTTAGAGACCCATGCTTCTAACTGGTAACCGTCCGGTACGTACGTACGGAGTTGCCCTACGATAACCCATGTTGTGACCTGAGAACATGGAACATGCATGAAAAATTGAAAGCGGCGCGCCAGCGTCGGGGAAACTCTTCTTGGGATCTGATCCAGCCCCTCTCAATCCAAATCAAAACCAGTACGGTACGGTACCGCGTATTGTACTCGTAGTACCCAGTACGTACTGTACTGTATCGATCTTTGGAAATAGTTCTACCAGTCTGTCAATTGTATTCGAAACCATTAGAAGTGAAAAATGGAAAACGAAGAATTTAACGGAACATTCTCAACTCTCTATTCTTCTATTGCTTGTGACATCTATAGGTCTCTTGTGTGAATTGTATCATTAGATCGAACGATCAGAGGAAGACAGAAAGTACTTGTTGAGTACATCGGCCAGGACTTACTACAACGCATACCGACAATGACGATTCTTTATGTTGCTACAAACGCGAACCGCTTGAAAGCAATCGAGGTAAACAGCGACACAGGCGAATTTGTGCGCACAGTTCAAGACATTGACCCAATTGTTCGGTCAAGAAAGCATCAAACGCCCTTGACACCAGGAGACATCGAGAACAACAACGACCACCACAATAGCCCACCTTCTAGGATCGACACTAACAACGACAAGGAGAAATCTTTTCTTTTCGAATGGTTGACTTCGCATCTGAATTTTGGAATGCCAACCACAGAGTGGATCGAACGACACCCAACATTCGATTCGTTGCTATACGTATTTACATCATTTGGGAGCAAGAGGTCGGCTGTTGTCACCACATATCGTATTCTTGGCATCGGAAACAACAATGGCAACAACGAGGACGACTCTGAGAAGAACAAACATATTCGAGGCCAATTGAAAAAACTCGGCAGCGTAGAGACGCAAGGACTCCACGTTGCACACGTGGCATTTTCACCTGATTACAGTACCCTTTCCATAAAAGCAAAGCCCCCATCAACACTATGCGTTGGTCACTACCTCGACGGAAGCTTGTCGTTCTTTGATTGTAGCCAAGATTGTGCCCTAGGCGAACCACAAAAGATCGTGGTGCTTCCCGAGATCCGTCCCGAAACGCGAAGAAAAACATTGCCTAATCCCCTCCCTTCTATCCATCACGTGACTTACAATCCCCGAGGAAGGATCCCTAGCAGTTGCAATGATTCCGACGACGAAGGTGACAGCTGCAACTACCTCTTGGTCTCCGAAACTTCCAAACAAGGCCGGGTGTGGACGTATAATGTCGATTCAATTGGATTGCCTATTTCCAGTCAACCGGCATCTTTTCTCAAAGTAACCTTCATTACCCCACCGTCGGGCTGGTTCGCACGACTCGTTACTGGAAGCTGGGTCGCAGGACTGGCCGACTACCGGATTCGTCGATGTGCGGTTCATCCCAATGGACTTTATGCGTACCTATTGTTGGAGTTTAATTGCGTTATTCAGGTTTACGAAATTCAACCTGAAACGGGTCGGATCTCGGGGGATTGCCTACAGGAAATTCCCACAATCGATCCGAACAAAGTAATTGGTCTCGCAGTCCATGGTTCGGCGGAGCTTCATGCTACAGATACCGAAATTTTTGTACTCAATCGTGGGTTGAACCCTTTCCCCACAGGCAGCTGGGCAGAATCAGACGTACGGGTCTTTTCCATCGAAAATAATGGAGCAAAGCTGGTACCGAAAACAACTATAGCTTGTGCGGGTCGCGCTTGTCACTTTTTGGCATTACCTAGGGATCAGTCGTACCCCACGCAACTCTTTGTGGGATCGGATATGGGAAGACAATTTGAAAACGTGGAGGAACAAACCAGCGCTTCGATCGAAACATTTGTCCGAAGCAATGCAGAAGAAGCCGGTGGGACGTTCGAACGGGTTGGAATTGCGAATGTCGGGATGGATCGCATCACTTGCATCGCGGCGCTTTCGTGAAATATGGTAAAAAGGAACTAGAAAACCAAGGTTTTCAGTCTTGTGTAAATCACCAAAGAATATAAGGGGCGCTGGGCGCTTCGGCGAGGAGAATCACCTCTATTGCGCCATGCTTTCGCCTGAAGTCGATTCGAGTTTCCCTATCTTTGAAAAGCACGCGAATGACTGAGAATTTAGGCAGAATATATCTTTCAGAAGGATTTTTGTCGTGTTCAGTCGGAGACTATCATATTTTGCCTTTGCATATTGTGGAACCTTGAATGGATATCCAATAAGAAGTACGAGTATAATGCCGGTTCTGGCGTGGCCCGTTTCTTGCATCAAAATTAGGCCACCAGCTACTGTAACTTTGGTGAGCCAGTTCTAAGTCGCCATAGCACCCTATGGGTTCCCAATGACATGGATCAATGAAGACATATTAGCCAGTGAACGGGATCAGAGTTGTTTTTTGTCACGTGCTGCTCATTTTATAACACACAGCTGGTCTCGAGCACTAGCTTTTTTGGCATGTACTACTGTAAGATGAGAATCGCAGCTGTTCTACTATAGCACTTCATTAGGACACCTGCACACCCACACCTCCCAAACACTATGACTGAGCATTTCACCAAAGGGGACAACATTAGAGCTGGTTTTAGCAGTTAGCAGTTCTAATGATCTCGTAAACACGGTACTTTAAACTAGAACTGAGTCTTTCAGCATGAAAATAATTGAAACTGTAACTTTTCTCGACGGCTATTGTAAAATTATTAAAAATCATACCGTCCCCTAATATAAACTTACTTAGACCAACATTTCCTAATTTCTTGTTTTCTTCCTTCACCAACAGTCATTTCATCCACATAAGTAACAACCCATGTTTCTTGAATTTTAATTTAATCTATAACTTCCATCTCTACATTTAATTTTATGTATAACCTTTGTCTGAACTGAAATTTCATCCATAACTTCCAGCTAACCAAAAATTTAGATAGGTATTTTCCACTGACCTGAAATTTAGTTACAGAGGCTACACTTTCCCCCAATATGTGTCAGTATTTTCCGGTGTTTTTTTAGTTTGCTCACGGCAAATCTGTAACTATCCAATTCAAACAACCCTTGCCCCCCTTGGTCAAATCATTATTTCTCACATTCCATGCGCAACTTCATTTGACTGTAATACCAAAACTTTGAGCACAATGTCTGTCACCACCACCGGTCTTTTTGTGAGCCTCAGTTCTAAGAGCCTGTGCGGCTGCTTGCTTCAGGTCAATTCCACGTTTTTCTTTCATCCTTTTTTTTGGTATCGCGTTTTTCCAAATATGTTGTTACGCATAGTGTACTGGCACTCCTTGTTGTATCTCTCTTTATCACCTTCCTGAAACCACAAATCCACTTGATCTTGCACTTCCCCATGCCAACGTTCCAGGTTGACCGTGGCTGGTTACGACGGGCCCTTTCTCAGAAATTTTATGTTCCTTTTCCTTATGCTTCAACTTACAGCATTTCTTTAATTGGGTCAACTGGCAATTTGCACACCATTACGGTGGACCCCAACGTCATAAAGTGCAATTGTCCTGATGAGCACCCTCTTTGTAAGCACATTTTATTTCTTTTATTGGAGCTTGGTCACGATGTCAAAATTGGTTTGCTCAACATTGACGCTCTTTTTATCAGGAACACCTTTCATCTCAAAAACTGGAAGTACCTCCATGAATTCACTACCACAATTATTTGCGTGTTACAAACATCATGTGTGCTTTGTAATTCATTTTGAGAGTCATTGGCAAAAGAGGAAGATATTACCATGTGCAACCTTTGTTCCGCAATTTTCCATTCCCGCCACTTCAATGACAGCTACAGCCTACTAGAGGAATGTCCATACTGCCATCGTGAATGGAATCCTTTTCTAGCAGTCCGTTCTGGCAACTATTACAATTTCCAATCATTTCTAACCAGGTTGATTCAGCCTCCTTGGCCCATTTTACCACAGAACCATAGTGTCCAGAACAATCCTGACAATGAAGCCCTCTGCACGGTCATGCCTTTCTTTGAATGGGAGCAAGATAAAAATATTGACAGCTCAGGTCTACGAGATAGCTTTGAACCTTAATTGCTGAACAACAGTCTTTGAACCTTAATTGCCAAACAACAGCACAGCTCTATTGGTTGTTCCAGATATTTTCCACCTGTGCTGGTAATGGTGATGGTAAACATTAAAAATGAGTTACTTTTGATGCTCAGCATTTACTCACACTTACTACATACACATCCCTAGATTCAAGATTAAATTAAGTGTTGCTTGCTCTAATCAAAATCTGAAAAAAATATAGTTAGTACAAAAATGTTAATACCTAATGTAAGTAGGTATGCCTGCCCGTCTGTCCTTGCTGGGCTCTGCCTCCTCGTTTTGTTGTTGGTCGTTTTTTTTTCAGCAGCCAGCCAAAACCAAACCCATGTTGCTTGCTTGCTACCCGCTTGCAACATCCCAAAACTAACACTAACTAACTAACCAACCTCTCCAGGTAGTTGAGATATGAGAACCGGGTCACGTGGTCCTGAAAACCCCCCTCAACTGTACAAAATTTGGTGCAAAACACAGTATTGAATTCACTACTTGACAAGAACCTGTCCACCTCAGTAATACTGGGAACAAATGATTGTTAATGTGCTTTACCCGCCTTTTTTTGGTGTCCACTCCATTTGCTCAGCAATATAACTTGCCGTCTCTGCTTTTCCTGAGAAACCTCAGTTTGTCAGAACCATTCCTGATTTCAGTGTGAATTCCTGTGGCAAAGTACTCCCATCCCAATGGCAGAAATGAATGGTTAGGACAGCATCTTCCTTGCTATTCTTCTTTGGTTTGGAGTCTCTAAAAACCAAAAGAACCTATTCCTGGCGGTGAATATCAGTGTAACTTGACTTCAGTCCCCGGACAAATTTTGCAACAACTCTCCATGCGAACCCCACCTTTTTGCACTTTTTGTTGTTGTCAACTTGTATTTTGGAGGGGATTTGATGGCGGTGGGTGATACAAGAATGTGCAGATGCGACCCCAATGAATAGTTGATTATGAGAGAATTGGATTGCCCAGAACCGCTTTGTTGTTGTTTATACTGAGAGGCCTCCTTTACAAGCTGTTTTGCACATGGCACAACACATGATGAGTGGTAGACAAGACTTTTGATAAGACCTCCTACATGTACATTATTGGGAAAGAGCCACTTTGGATGAGCTCTTGCTTTTTCAAATACAAGATTGAAACATGGACATATGCACTTCCTCATCTGTGTAAATTCTATGTGGTAGTTGCACGTCACCGTCAGTTGAAACTTAGAATGTGCCGAAATTGTGTTGCTTTGTGCCTCTTGGAAATTGAAATCCTTTTGACCAAAGTCAATCCAATTCAGACATTTCCAAGTAAAAAATACCTCGTGAGTGTCATCTGTGCTAGAGTCCAAAATTGAGGCAACAGCACCAGCATTGGTATGGTCCGATATTTCTCTTGATGACTTGCATGAAAATTTCTTGAAAATCTTGCGGTTGATTGTGTTAATTTTCAATCCAACAGACGCAAGAACACCTGAACTAGAGCTCAGCAACTTGAAAAGTGTTTCCATTGCTGTGTTATACATATCAATGAAAGCAGTATTTGTGAAGTGAGGTAGCATACTCCTTTGATTCAAGGTCAACATTTTACTTGCTACGGTTTCAGCCAAGTTAGTTCTCTTGAAACCAAAACATGGGGACTTTTGGTGTTGCGGACAAGCCGCCTTCTTGGAGTAATCAAAAGTGGCAGCAAAATTCTGTGCTCTCTTCTTCATTCCATTGATGGCAAATTCACTTGCAGAGGTCACGGGCAAACTGGATAGGTCAAGATCCAAGAGCTGATCCAAAAAATGAAAGTGACCAGCCACAACCTTAACGTTGCACAGAAAATTTTCTGAATTGAATGACACAGAATTACCCAACACCGTCCATATCTTTGGGTCATACTTCAAAATGTATATCACCAGCCCTATGCAACTGTAAACGTTTTCACCTTTGTGAATAGAAACCATTTGATTATACAACTCAATAAGTTCATCAAAGTACTTGGCAGAAGTAGTTGAATTGCTCAAAGAGTGAATGTGTTCTCGCAGAATGCTGTCACATTTCAAAATCCAATGATTTTTAGGTGATTAAAGATCCTTAAACTTGTGAAATGTTGGTCTAAGTAGGTTTATATTAGGGGATGGTATGATTTTTAATAATTTTACAATAGCTGTCAAAAATAGTTACAGTTACAATTATTTTCATGCTGAAAGACCCAGTTCTTGTTTAAAGTACCTCGCAAACACTGTTTTGATCATTTTCAAAGCAATTGATTGATTCAACAAAAAACGCGGAATATTCCCCCCCCCCCTGGCATGTACAAAAAATGTGCATGTAGAATTAGCACTACTGTACTAAATCTACGTTGCATTGTAAGTATATAGAATTAGTAAAGTGGTACTGAATCTACATACTTGTATACGTGATACAAATAAAGGATTTGTACAAATGGAGCTCCTCTGTGTTTTGCTGAACTCCAAGGCTCTCCTCTTAGAGTACCCAGTAGTAATTCCTCTATGGGTGATTCCCGCATATATATCACTGTATATGTTTTCAGGAAGCACTTTCAGTGATACTAGTAATGACTCTGCATGCTCGCTGAAAGTACATATTTTCCCCCCATTTTTGGAATTTGGAATCCCATATATTGCACTCATGAGGTCTAATGAATCCCCATTCACTTATTTGTTTGGTAGTGGTGATGATGATCAGGCTCTTCTAAAGTGTTGTGGTGTAGACCATCCTGTCTTCAGGGATCTCCTTGACCTTTTTGAACCGGTTTTTGATACATATACAGTCAACAAAAACACCATGGAGATCAGAGCAGGGCTATTCACTAAGAAAGGCAAACCAAAGGCAATAAGACAGTGCTTACTGCTACTGTTGGACTTGGATTAGTCTTGACTTGGTTCAGAACACGTGGATCAGCAGCTAGAATGATGTCTATGGTTTTTGGGCTTACCTCAACACCCCTCTGTAAATGGTYGAAGTACTCCTGAAGAGTTCTTCTCTATGTATTGCAAAATCATCCAAATGCAATTATTAGACCTCCCTGTGACAAAGAATTGGAGGCTTATGCAGCAGCTATTGGAAGGGAGTATCCTACACTTGCTGGAAGAAAGAAGGTC